ATTTCTCCCATTCATCCCTGGTTTCCATTTCCATTCCCTCTTCTTCCACAGATGCATCTGCTATAAAATATTACATATGTATCCTTCCACATAAGTGTAATATTGTAAAATGTTGAGTTGTTGTGTATGTTTTCAATTTTTGTAAATAGTTTTGTGAAACAGAACTTGTCTACTTCTTATGTCTTTCACTCAACAGTGGGTCTTAAACATCCAACTATATTTGCTATACATACCTCTGATTCATTGCTCTCAACTAATGCCTAGCACTTTGTAGTGTGTTTTCATGTCCCCTCAGGATGCATCCAGTTCCCAGATTCCATATACAGCTCTGCACTGAGTATTCTCATCTTTGTCCCTTTAAGGATCCGAGTGAGAACTGATCTGGATATATACCAAGGGAAGGATTGCTGGGCCACATGTATATACATACTTATATACATATATGTTCTAAATGCTTTGAATGTGTTAAATTATTCAGTCCTCACAATAACCTCATGAGGGAGGTGTTAATATTATTTCCACTTTACAGATGAAGAAACTGAGGCATAGAGTAGTTAATGGCATACTTAAGGTTTTAGTGGCAGAGTGGGCTTTAAACTTATGGGTGACTCCCTCCCAGTGAGTATAAGAAGAGCCCACAAGTGGGGAGAATGTAGCTCAGTGGTAGAGCTGCTGCTTAGTGTGCATGAGGTCCTGGCTGCAATCCCCAGTACCTCCAGGAAACAAACAAACAAACAAGCCGAGTTATCCCCTACTCTCCAAAAACCAAACCAACAAAAAGGGAACAAAAGATGCAAAAATTTGTGATTACGTTCAGGAATTTTTATATATGTGTATATGTAGAAAAAAGCTGAAAAATAAAATGTCTAAACAAAGGAAAACAACATATCTCCATACAGAGAGATTCAAAATAAAATAACTGGAAATTGAATTGGATTAAAAGTGGATTAAGAATAATGCCCTGTGGTCACATGCAAAGATGATTCAATCTTAGGAAGTATATCAACATAATTCAATATGCATTATTAACTAATTAAAAGTAAATAATCTTATGTTAGAATAAATATATGCCCCTACAAGAGGAATTGATTAAATTCAGAAACCATTCCTAACATACAAAGAACTTTTAAAGTTCATGGAAAAAAATCAGCAACCAATTAAATTATTAAAATTAAATTTTAAGCAATTAAAAAATATGCCAAGGACCTGAAGAGGTTAATTGCAGAAGAGGAAAAGTAAGTGACCAATAAAAATAGAAAAAAATTCGTATTGCTATTAAACTGTTAAGAAAACACACGTTAGAGACTAAAATTCTTCATTTGTCACATCTGCAGCTAGTATTCTCTTCTGGTCTGATTCTGGTTTTCAAATTTTTTGTCTTTTTTACTGACATGCAGATTTAAAATGTTTCTCATGTATGCAGATTGGTTATTCTTTTTATGAGCGTAGTATCATTTTTTAATCTTGAGATCTGCAAAAACTGAAAAGATTATGATAGCATATATAATGACATTGTCAAGGATGTGAGGAAACTGACGTTCTCATCCCATGTTATTGATGGGAGTGCAAACAACAGATTTTGAAATACAGTCAGCTGTCTGGCTGCTAGCATAACTAACGCCATCTTGAGCTTGTTGAGTTCCTCCTGTCCCTCCACTGATGCTACCTGGGACTGTACTGTGTGGTAAATCACTTCTCTGTTGTCAAGGGCTTTGTAGTTAATAGAAATTGTTCAATAATCATTAGGAGCATGTGGCTTCTATGCTCTGTTAGTCCCCAAACAATGATGAAGAGCTTCACTGATGTATTCCTAGTGCTCATGGGACTAGTTACCTATTCAAAATCTTAGGAATGGATGTCCTCTTTCCAAGCACCTGCCCCCATACCCTGGATTAACTATAAAATTGTCCCAGTGGCCCCTTGGCGGTGCTGAGTGCAGCTGCAAATGCTGGATCTTTGTCTGCCAATCCGGATCCCACCCTACGAGTAAGTTACTTACGATCAACAGATTCACTGACGATGTGGAGCTGTCTGCGTGTTTTTCAGTCTCCAGATGCCTTCCCAGGGTTGGTGGGCACTCCATCCTCCAGTATCAGGTAGCAAATATTAAAACATTAAATGTATTCATCTTTTGAACTTGAGGAATCTATTTTGCAGAAATAAATGAACTAGACCATATGAAGATGTTACCTGCAGCACTGTTCCCTCTGTGGGAAGTGAGGGGGGAGCAGAGACAGCTGAACATCTAACGAAATGGTATGTTCTGTAGGGATTTACAAAAAATGAGGTGTTTTTTCCCATTATTGACATTATCTGTACATTGATTACTTTATAGGGAGGGATGTCCATGTGGTACTATTAAATAAAGAAAGAGAGATACAGGATGTAATGGACAACATGTTGTTTTTGCTGACCCAAGGTTCATTAACCTTTCTGGTAAATCAGAACCTGGGTTCTTTTGGGAGTGTTATGAATGAACTGTTTATGTCCATGTTCCCCACCCCATCAAATTCATATGTTGAAAGAAATCATAACCACCAGTGCGATGGTATTAGAAAGTGGGGCCTTAGATACTAGTTCATGAGGGTGGAGCCTCATGAATGGGATTAGTGCCCTTATAAGAAGAGACATGAGAGCTTTCTCCATCTCCTCCTCCTCCTTTTCTCCCACCTCCCCCTCCTCCTCCTTCATTTCCATCTCATTCTCTGTCTCTGTCTGTCTGTCTCTCTCTCTGAGTCTACAAACCAGTCACTAGACATCAGATCTTCCAGGGCCTTAATCTTGGATTTCCAGCCTCCAGAACTGTGAGAAGTAAATGTTTGCTGTTTAAGTCTAGTATATTTTTGTTACAAGAGCCCAGACCCAGACCAGAAGTCTATTCTCAAACCATGTGTGCCCATGACACATGCCTGGATGATCAAAATGAGAGCATTCCTCTGGCCACAGGGATTGATTCAGGAAAAGACATTTGACGGATCCAGTCAGAGGCAGTGAATTCAAAATCTCAGAACTTTTCATTGATTCTGTTGAAAGAGAAACAGACTCTTTTCTTCCTGGGTTTGGATCTGTGAAGATATAAACTTGAAGCTGTAGCACCCCTCTTGCCACCACAAAGGGAGACTGGCTCAAGAATAGAACAATATAGAGAAGAACAGAGCTAAGGCAAAGCAAAGCCAGGTGCCAATATAAGTCCCTAGATCCAGCTATGCTTGAAGCCTTCTCAGTTCCGTGAAACAATAAATCCCCTTTCTTACTTAAATTACTTTCTGTTTCTGTTACTTGCAACCAAAAACCAAAAATGTAGAATGATGTGAATGATTTGATTCTGATATGAAACAGAGCCTCTGTAATTAGGCACTTGTGTTCAAATAAATGCATATGTGCGTATTTGTTTGGTGTGGAGAATATACACTAAAATTTTAACATTGGGTTTCTCAGGAGGATAGGATTCAAGGGATGTAGGGAGGGAAGGGAAGTTAAATAACTTTTTCTTTACATACATCCGTAATGTTTGGCTTGTACACAGGTGTTCATAGCTTGTAATTTTTAAAGCCCTGTAAATTTTTAAAATGAGTGTCATATATTTTGTGGTTTTTTTTCAAATATGGGATTTTTTATAGAGGGGGAAATGACGTAAGTGATCTGGAAAAAAGGAAAAAAGCTTAAATTTGATACTAGAAACATTTTAAAACTAATAATCATAGTAGCTGATAAAAAAAAACCTAGAAAAACTTTTCTGAGTAAATTATTGATTCCCAAACTTAAATATAATTGATTATTGCTTTTTATAACTTTACCTTGAATATGCATGATTAATGCTCTTTGAAATGTCCTTCTTTCTAGTTAAGTGGATGCACCTGTGACAATAATCCAATATATTTAGTAACTGGAAACAGGATTTCTCCTCAACGATTAAAATATAACCACCCCCATGTTAAGAAAACAAAAAATAAAGTATTTCACTATTGTCCTGGAAATTTGTCTTTCTCAGATTCTGAGTTAAAAACTAGTTATAAGTTCTTATAACTTTTTGTGAAATATGCTTTGAATGATCCTTTATGATAATATTTGAGATTGTTTTTCCACACTGGCATCTTCCATTTCTTTTCTTTTTTCTTTTTTTCTGTGTTAGGTCCACTTTATTTTAAAACAAGTTTCCATGCAGAAATATGACAAACAGTGGGTAAAAGTGTTGGGCTGTCCCCTCCTGATATTGTCATGACTAGATACATCACCTTTCCACAATTCAGATTTTTAGCTTTCCTGGTGGATAATGAGTTATGGAAGTGAAAGTACCTCATTTTAGTTCTGTGTCAGTACTAACTACTATTCATCACACCTTTACTAGATTAAGCAATATATTCAAATAAGATAATGAATTACATGTTTTAAGAGCAGAATGGGCTCTCTTTGTTGAAGAAAACTATGCTAAATTTTCATCAGAAACGTTAAAGAGTCATATCTTGTAGTGGAGTTAATTACATATAAATGTTTCCTGGGGCTAAGATTTATTTTAGAAATAAAGTTCCTCTAAAGAATTTTATTTTTATCTAAAAGTAATAATAGATAATATAGTACATGTTATTAACATATAGATAATCCAGATTTGTTTTTTTAATGTCAGCTATTTGATTTAAATTTCTTGAGTCTGATTTCAGTATATTATTTCAATCTACTTCGCATTCATCTCTTGAATAAAAATAAAAACTATTTTCATCTGTTTGCATATGTGTTTATGAATTAGACTTAGACATTCTAATATTACAGGGTGCTAGTAGCTAACAAAGCTTACCTAGGGCAAGTCTTTAGTCTTGACTTTCATCTTAAAATCTTTACTCTTTAGTGTCAATATAATTGATTCCTTAGTAAAGAGCGATCATGTCAGTGACTTCCTTAGAGCACCTTCCCTACAAATTGTTTGCAGATTTCTCATAATTCAACAAGTTGGAAAAATGTGGAATGAATGGGAGACTGAATATCTTTCATTTCAAAGTGGATACAAACTAAAAGATTTCAAAAAGTTCATTTCAAATTCTATATCCAGCTGGAACCTACTGTGATAAAGGGATATCTATCTTTTCCTTTCTAAAAATTAAAGTACCAGGTAACCCAAATATGAGGCAAGTATGCTCTTAACAAGGTAACCTAAAGGTACCAGTGCATTAGTAATTTTTAAAAAGTGATACAGAAAAATAAATGTGGGGCATGAGAAGGGCCATGTGCCAAGTCTTGGTGGAGCCCCTCAGATGTGCCCTGCCAGGTGTGGGTCCTTGGCTTTGTGCAGGAAAGAATTCAAGAGTGAGCCACAGTTGAGTAAAGGTAGATTTATTCAGAGAGATACATACTCCATAGACAGAGTGCAGACTGTTTCAGAAGGCAAGAGAAAATCCAGGAGGTGTGTGGGTTGGGTGCTCAGTTTAAGGTAAAAGTAGATACATACTCCATAGACAGAGTGCGGGCTGTCTCACTCAGAAGGGAGAGTGACTTTTTTTTTTTTTTAATGGAGGTAATGGGCATTTAACCCAGGACCTCATGCATGCTAAGCACATACTCCACCACCGAGCTATACCTACCCCTTGGCATTTTTCATTTCTTGATTATGAATGTAACCAAGTATCTGATCAGCCTAAATGATCAAAAATCTTGATGTTATAATTTTGTGAAAACACAATTCAATCTTATAGTTTTATGAAACCACAATTTGCATATGTTGTTACAGTATTTACATTTGCATTATTTAGTAAGATGGTTTTTTCCCTCCTGGAGGTTGGGAAAGGGAGATCAGTGAGAGAACATAAGACAGAGCCAGGAGAAAACACTGCCAGCTCTTGTCTTCAAGTGGCATTTCACAGCTCTTTACCTCACAGCCCGTTTTAAACCAACAGAAGTTCATTTACCTTCTCTTACAAACCTTTAACTCACTTGAGGGATGGGCTTAGCCAAAGTTAAGCCCTTGTGAATTGGTAACCTGGTTTTGAGGAAAAACTTACATAGTAACTAAGGTGTTGGTTAAACAGACACTTACCATTTATTTGCAAAGAAGTCCCGTGGCTAGGATTATTATTTTGATTGTTTCTTCATAGCACAAGATAGCTGTCTTGAAGCTCCTAAGTATAATTAGAAGGTGGGAACTGTTTCCTTAAATTTGGATATCAGGTTATTACACTGTATCTGCAGATCTGGTATATCATGCTTATAAGTAGAAATGACTATGTCTGTTCACAATTTATAAGGAAAATGGGCATTTGTAGCAGAATAGGACTTCTCATGTATCATACACTAAACATGAAAAACTTGATAAATGACAGTGAATGAAGCAAGTAAATAATGCCCTCTGACAAAGCACAGTGATATGTAAATAATTTTTATCGCATAAAATCTACCTCATAAAGACAGCATGAATGATTTTATTGATTTACAGTACCATCAACATTCTCATAATGTAAAATTTAGTAGCTAGCCTGAACATTAAATTTTAAACTCAGAATCATCATCAATCTTTTATTTAGATCTGATAAGCTTCTGGGGTTGCTCCAACAGTGGAATCTTAATATGTTTCACCCACATGGAGAGAGATTCACCTTCAGGATATCATGTCCTCTTTTACAAACCTATAAGCAGAAGTATTGCCTAGTATCACGGAAATAATACAAGACTAAATTGTTTTCACTTTGCTTTGGAATGAGGATTATGTTGCTTTGATTAACAGCTTATACTTTTTTTCCTTGGCTTTATTAACTCTAACCAAGCCCTTTATTTCCATGAATGGAATTGAAAACGCTATTCTTTTAATCTTCTGGGTTGAATTCTGGGCCATGTAAAGATTAAGTGAAGTGATTCCAAACCTAAAATCCTGTAATTACGAAACGTCTGTTTAAGCTGATGTTTGGTCTTCTTTTCCTGCTGCTTCTAAGTTGGGAAGAGAGCTTTCTGAACTGCAAATTAGGATAGTCTTGGCTTGTTCATTGTGGTAAAGCGAACAGATTTAAAAAGGCCATCTATTTAGTTAACATTTGTTTTGTTTAATCTGAGATTAGACCTAGGTTTACCCCCCAAAAACCTACTAAATTTAGAGCAGACAGGATGCTTGAAGACAGCATTACTTGAGAGTAGTTTCTTCCCACAACCTCTTCTGAATGGCTTGTGAATGAATGGCGGGGGGGGGGGCGGGGGGAAGGCACATAAACTGACCAATTTGAGGATGCAGTTTTAGAGGGAAAAGAAATATCTATAAATTGATCCAATAACTTATTAAAGGACTTCTAAATGGCGGTATATGTTCTTTAACCAATTTTTAAAGACACTGGTAATAATTCCTCTAATGATCTACTGAATGTATGTTTGTTTTTTTTCTTTTTTGAATTGAAGTGTAGTCAGTTTACAGTGTGTCAATTTCTGGTGGACGGCATAAGAGTCATACATATACATACATATATTTGTTTTCATATTCTTTTTCATTCTAGGTTACAAAAGATATTGAATATAGTTCCTGGTGTTATACAGAAGAAACTTGTTGTGTCATGTGTTTTCACCACTGACCATCACCTAAGGGAAGAATGGTCATGTGACTCATTACTGTAACAGCCCATGTGAAGAAACTCCCTGAGGAGGAAAGACAGAACTACAACCTAATTTTTAATTGGAGTGCGGCGAAAACGACACGAGTCACAACCGGAATGAGGGGTCAGGACAGCTGTTTGCCTGTCTGGGATACCTTGTAGTCTGCAAAGCTTTGCATCTGCATCTGAGACAATTTTTACAGCCAGTTTGGAGGGCTGACATTGTGTGAACTCTCAAAGGGACCTAATCAAGAACATTTCCTAGATTTAGAGTTTGGCACTTAGTTTACGATGGGTAATGTGACCTTCCACCGTGGAGACAGTATTATTAATTCATGAAGGGTATTAGTTTTATTTTTATAACTCTAATAAACTTAAAGAAATGTCTTAGTGGTCACTGAAAGTGGGAAAATGTATTTATGATGCCGTGCTTTTCTGCTTGTTGCTTTCTCTGCTTGGAGAGCCTGCTGGGAAAGGGTGAGGAAGGAAGGAAGGAGTCAGGACTCAGGGCCAGGCAAACAGGCAGACCTGCGCTCCTATTTCAGCTCTACAGTTACTGGCTGGATGGTTGAAAGCATGAAACTGATCCTCTCTGTTTCCTCAGGTGTTAAGTGGAATCAATGATAGTTATATTGAGGGGATGTGGAGGTAATGAACATACGCAAAGTACCTACAGCATAGCAGATGCTCCAAAATGTTGCTTTATTTCCTCTTTCTCTATGTCTGCCTGGTAAATCACTCATCTTTCAGAGTAACTCAACAAGTCTCTTACCTTCCAGCTCTCAAGATCCTTCTCTTATCATTGAAATGGAAAGGCTGGACTGCAGTTGGGATTATTATTCCCAGACGGTATTTGGAACACAGAGGACCATGGTCCCTCCAAAAGACACAGAAGCAACTGTTTTCAAACAGCCAAGATTTCATCCGAAGCTAGATCTTCAAAGAACTGGGTGCCTGAGTCATTTAAGGAATATCTCTTGTTCTCTTTTGTACAATTCTGTCGTAAGTTCTGTAAAGTCAACTGACTGATTAAAAAAAGCTCTGCCTTTATCATTGACCTCCCAATCTAATAACATTTCACTGACTAATCTTCCCACTTGATTTGTCCTTTGGTCTAGTTTTCCACCTGCTGTTTGTCTACAGAATCTGACCGGTCAGCATTCACACCAACACAGGTTGCTACACTGGCCATCCTTTGATAGATGTCCCCCTTCATCTCCGATCTCCAGAGTGACCCTCACTGCCCAGCATAAGTTTCCATCATACTTCCATGAAAAGGGACAGTTAAATCAATATTTTTCATCTGTTTTGCTGCCAGAATTCAATGATCTGTCACAGTTCTTGCCGAATTCACCTAATCATTTTTGTTCAAATGGTTTTAGCCTTGTTTAAAAGTATTGGGTTAACTGGTTTCATAATTAAACTATAAAGTATAATTTTAGCAACATTTTACTATACTTTTCCACAACCCAGAGCACATACTATCATATGCCTAATGTTTACTCATTAATTGCATGCATCTTTTGCAACTACCCTCCAAGATTTTTCTAGTATTTTCTACCTGGGAAGGTTTTTAATGATAATCATGCTGTCCTGAATCAGCTCACAAATCCTTCTGTCTTACATTACGTTGCTCCTAACTCATAGACCAGGCACAGCTGACGCTAAATGATACTGAATAAGATGCTACAATTCTATAAATCCTTTGATATTCATATCTGAATGCAATCACTTGTAGATTTTCATAAAATAAACTTCTCACTTCTACAGTTGGGATTGTTTATAAGTTGTTTAAGTTAAACAATTCTCCTAGCATGCTTTTCACATTAAATAAAGTAACCCTTTCAATTCAGTTTTGGTGGTATCTATGACGTTATCATTTGATAGTATACGTCAGGGTTGGCAAATGTTTCCTGAAAGGCCAGATAGTAAAGAGTTTAAGCTTTGTGGACTGTACAGTCTCTGTTGCAACTGCTCAACTCTGCCATGTAGCAGTCACAGACAACTTGTAAATGAATGAGCATGGCTGTGAGCAATATAACTTTATCTGTAGATATTGACATTTGAATTTCATTTAATGTTTGCATATCATAAGGTATTATTCTTCTTTTAATTTTTTCAACCATTAAAAGTGTAAAGACTATTCATATGGGCTGTACAAAAACAGGCAGAGGGCCAGATTTGCTCTGTGGCTGTAGTTTTCTGATGACTATATATATATATA